CCGTTGCACATACGGCAACATGTAATTCATCCCAGTGTATCCTGATGGCTCTTAAAGGTGTTGTCAACCAGGCGATGCTGCAGCTAAGTCTTCAAAGGGTGGTTCCATCACTCCATAGGGCCAGCTGCACTGGGGTGAGCAAGGGCACGGTGAAATGTCTGAGCTTGCTCAGCCTCAGTTTACTGGCATAATTAATTTCCTATGAAATGGGTCCCCTCATCAGAAGCAATGTTCAGTAGAAGACCATGTGTATGGAATGCATCCTAAAGTGACTCTCAGGGAATGACAGCCCTGCATAATCAGTAAAAGTGTGTCTTGTGGCCAACAGAGTACATAGAAGGTAGTGGATGTCACATTCATGACCACACTCCATCATATGAGATTCCTTCTTAAAAGTCATAAGGAATTAAGGAACCATATTTTGAACTATCTATGGAGAGACTTCCCATGAGAAGAAACAGTAGATGGCCTCAAGGCATTCTCCAATTGATTGCCAATAAAAAGCTGTCTGAGTTTACAAACTAATTCTTGCTATTTTCTAGAGGAGAACACAGACTTCTAATCCTTCAGTAGGCAGCTGAAATACGCAATGCCCGTCCTCCTAATCCTCTGAAATGATGAAATGATAGATAATAAAGGTTACCAACTTGATGATGATCTATCACACAACACTGGCAATTTACCCATGACGACAGTAGCATGACATGCCTCGGGACTACACATGGAGATTTTCAAAAGGAGAACAACCTGGTCTCCAGCATCTCTATCTCGGTGAGAGCAAAGGTCCCTACCTTCCATAAGAGAAATAACGCATGTCATCTACTGGCTGATATCCTGCAGGAGATGAAAGTGTCAGAGTTGCTACCAAAAGGCGAAGCACTCAGCAACGGCTGCAATCAGATCACCTTGGGGGAGTTGATATCTGCATTGCCAAGTTACAGCCAACTAAAGACGTAGCATACTTTTTGTGTGCCCATTGGACAAGAACGGGCGGTAGTGGAAGAATTCCTTCTGATGGCCACCTAATTTAAATAAAAAATAATCATTTCTTCATCCTTGTTCTATTTTCTTTTAGTCAGGAATTTGGAAAGTACTTGATTGGGTGATTCTTCTTTTCTGTCTTCCCTGTTGTCCTTCATCACCTATTGCTCTACTCATCCGAACGCTTTCCTGGGGCTGGCGAGCCCCTTCAGAGGTAACCCATTTGACCGACAAGGCTGAGACTCTGCTCCATCCCTTAGGAACTATATTATTTGAGGAAGTTACTCAAATTCTGTAAGTGCTAGTCTACTTAACTATAAAATAAAGGTGACGATGTTAATGCATGCTTTGTAAGTCAATTGGAGAGTTGGTGAGTACATGTCAAAGGTGTAACGAAGGGTATGGTCCATAAGAGAAATTTGTCTATCACAAGAAAGATGAATGGGAATCAATTCTAGGAATGACACTGATTCTTTTAGTTATTGACAATTTTCCTCCATGTGAAAAATCACAACAATGTCTAATATTTAATTCCTGTAAAATGAAAATGTTAAATGGAAATTAATCTCTCTCTCTATTCTTCTCTATCTTTATTTATTTTCTGTACAAACTTTTGCTTACTGTTTGTGTCAGAACATAGAACACACTCTCAGCTTCCTTACACTATTTAATTATATTGTAATAAAAACACAATGCTGCCAAAACAAATTTTCAAGTGTCAAGCAAGCTGTTCACTTATTTGTAAAATAAGATCCCTAGAAAAAGCGCACACGACATTCACACATTCATACACATAACAGAGAGAAAGCAGCAAAGCAGCTTTTTTCTTGTAGAAAGAATGGATAGTTGGTCTCTGGTTAACTAACAGCCCTATTCTTACAGTGACCGTTTGGTTGTTTCTAGGAGGTAAATCTTGATCTTCCTTCTTTTCTCTCTCTCTCTCTCTCTCTCTCTCTCTCTCTCTCTCTCTCTCTCTCCCTCCCTTCCCTTTATGATAATTCTAATTGGGTATCTCTCATTTCAATCAGAATGGAAGTTTCTATGCATCCTTTAAAATAGTTCCCTGGACAACTACCTCCGCCTTATGATCAGAATAAGCTATTATGTAGCAGCAAGTTTTCATTTGGGGAAAAGTCACTTCATAGAACAGTCAGTGAGGTAAAATAGAATACTAGAATGTGAAGACCCAGGGCCTTGAGGATTTCAATTCATCCTTCTGACTGCAGGTATGAACACGTAATCCATCACAGGAGAGCTTTCCCGGTTTCCAGATTCCAAGGGAAAGACAACCCACATCCTGTTGTACTGACTTCTACTTTCTCTGTTCAGTTGCAATGCAGTGAGTGCACTGCAGCTTAGCCGGACTCAGTTGTTAGACATGCTAATCTCATCCTAAAATTAATATCTAACTGGTGCTGGAGGGATGGCTCGGCAGTTAAGAGCACTTGCTGTTTTACAAGAGGATTCTGGTTCAATACTCAGCACCTCCCTCAGGCTGCTCACAACTACCTGAACTCTATGTCCAGGGCATCTGATGGACTCTGAGAATACCTACATACAAGCGGCACATCCATCAACGCTTATATTCTAATCAAGTTTCTTGGTAATTGCTCAGAAATCATGTTTAACTGCCCTTTAACTATTTACTTAATGCCTCCTTGTCTTTCTGTGTAGCATCCCTAACTTCCTTGAACAGTACAAGCTAATGTAGAGGATTCTAGTTAATCAATACACTTATGGGTGAATTTACCACTGTGCTTTGGCCATTCTCAGTAATCCCAGTTTACATTTATGTCCTATTTGTCCAAAACACTAAACTGGTCAAATTTTAAATGAGAGATGGCTAATCAGTTAAGAACACTTATGCTTTAACCAGAGGACCAGAGTTTGGCTCCCAGCACCCACATCAGCTGTCTCACAGACACCTATAACTCTAGCTCCAAGGGATTCAAGGCTCCCCTCTGTACCTGTACATACACATATGTGCACACACACACACACACCACAACACAAACATAAATAAGGTAAATGGTTAATAAATTTTCAGATGGGAATAAAGAGCAGTTAGGAGTTTTTGTTGCATTTGCAGAGGACCCAAGTTCAGCTCCCAGCACCCACATGAGATGATTCACAAATGCCTGGAACTCCAGTTCCAAAGGTTGCAGAACTTTCCTTGGCCTCCTTGGGCACCTGCAATCATGTGTACATTCTAACACAGAAATACATTGATACACATAATAAGTAATTTTTAAATGAATCTTTTTAAAAACTAAAAAATTCTAATTAGTGTCGGCAGTGATTATGAGTAAATAAGCTATTCTCTCTGTGCTAGGAATGTGCTTATATCAGTTAGATCACATGTATTTTCATTTTAGAAACATGCCTATTTTTCATACATCTTAAAAGGTAGGTCTGGGGAGATTGCTCAGTTGGTATGAAGTTCTAAGTTCAGGTCAGCAGCAGCCATGCAAAATCCAACATAATGGTGCCTATGTCTAGCCCCAGTGCTGGGGGACAAGAGACCAGTAAGTTCCTGGAGTCATTGTCAGCAAGTCTAGACAATCATTGAGCTCTAGGTTCAGTGCAAAACAAAATAACGGAGAATGATTAAGGAAGACAGGGTCAGCCACTAGTATCCACACACACGAGTGCTCAGGAGCAAACATCCATAGACACACCTGTAACACACACACACACACACACACGTGCACATACATAAATAAATACATAAATAACATATAAATAATTAAGAACAATAACTAGGAGGAAGATAGGGATGGCTCAGTGCATACAGTGCTTGCAACATAAGCATGAAGACCTAGTTTGAATTCCCAGCACCATAGTAAAAGCTAGGCACGGTAGAGTCTGTAACCAAGGCTGGTGATGGGAGAGCGGAAGCATCTGGCCAGAGTTCAAGAGTCGGCGGGAGAACTTGTCTCTAAAGAATAAGAGAGAAACAGAAAGAGAGAGAGAGAGAGAAATGTAGCTAGAAAAATGCTTGTTTGGACACAGTAAATATTCATTCAATAGATGTGAAAAGGCAGAAAAAGAAAAGAAGAGAAATTACTTTCTATTTGGAGGTCTCAGACATTTTAAAATTCAACCATATTATACGAATAAAGAAACAAAGCTGCACAAGGTCCCTATGCGCACAGAAAGACTGTTTCATTCGCTTATGGATTTGTGGGCACCAAGGTTCTCTTCTCCCATCAGCTCATCAAGAGCTCTCCAGTTTCAGAGATGCTTTTCTGTCCGTCCGCATGGAGCCTGGGGCAGCTCAGGGCAGGTGTTGCTGGGGACCCCCGCCACCGTTTGGAGCCTGAGCGTGAAGGAAACCCACAACGGCAGACAAGCTCAGAACAACTTGCACATTGGAGATTTTAAAACCGCTGGACCAGTTAATCCGGGACAACAGATGCTTTCTGCTCCTGCTAAGCTTTGGACCTTCTGTCTCTTCTGACGGAAAGTCACGCGGTGCTTGAACCGAACCGTAGATCTCGTTCTCAACCACGTTGTTCTCACTCTTGCATTGCCTGCTCCACTCTCTTCTTTTCCTTTGTCGCCCTTGGAGCTGCTTAGTCAAAACAGGCAGTCTTGAGCTTTTTATGAACAACCAGGTTCCCTCCACACGAGTAGGGGTCTGATTAATGGAAGGATGGCCTCACCTTCCCTCCATGGCTACGTTCCTGTTGGGCTGTTCCCAGAGCACGCTTTCCACCTGAAAAATGAAAGCAGGGTTTCAGCATCTGGAGTTTTCAGTGTCATCCAAATATGTTCCGGTTTAGATTTATTCAGAATTTTGAAAACCAGAGCCCTCGGGAGCTGCAAGGTCGGCGCATACATATGTATGACCTTATCAATGTGGAGGCAAAAATTCCATGCATTCGGAACGCCCTAAGTCAGAGGTGGTTGCTAGCTGGAATTGATTTCTTCGTGCTGCTAAGGCGACTTCTGTGACCTCACCGTTGTAGCGGAAAGGGTCATATTTACTCAAAAACTGATCTATTGGCTGAAGGCAACACTGCTCAGACTTCTGCCTTTCCTGACGAGGTGTCTAATAGCTAAATGAAACCATGGGAATTTCTCCATCGAGAAATCAGCAATGCACTCTCACCCACAGCTAATATTTCAAAGGTAAAATACCGTTAGGAATGCTAATTTTCTTACTCAGCCTGGGTGTAATGGGTAACCATGAACATCCAGAGATGCAAGAATCAATTGACATTACGGAACTTCAAAATGAGAAATATTTTATGTATTCAGGCATGCGTGTTAACATGCTTATTCCCACATTTAGTGGCAACTGCATGAACAGGCCTGAAGGTCCATCCTCAACGAGCTTCTATGTAGCTACCAATGCTAACAAGGTAAGCTTGGTATTCTGACAGGAAATTATCTCTGTAGGATTGTTTTAAGCGAGAGAAGCAAGGGCCAGCAAGAGAGGTAGGTGTATAGCACACCTGTTTGTGTTCAAAAATGGAACTGAGCACATGCAGGCATACATATGGATACATGTGAGGGCAGATGCTTCAATATGGAGGGACTGTCTAGGTAGACCCACAAGAAGCCTCGCGTCAGGGCGGGGTGGTCGGAGGGGTGGCGGCAGGGCTGGGAGAAAGGCAAGTTTCCCTCTTCCCCTATTCCTTTCATACCATTTGAATCTTTGTCACCCTTCCCCTGCACTGCCTATTAAAAATACAAATAAAAAACTGTATTCCGAAGTCTGACTTTGATTTAGAGCTTAGAAATGAGGACATTAAGATTTCATATTCCCTTTCTCCTCTCGGGCAGAAGCGGGCCCCTTCCATCACTGGTACTTGCTTTTGACTGAATAGTATTTTTAGATCCCCCCCCCCCGCCTCCCGCCCCTAGAGCCCAAATCTCACCGCATTAAAGCAGCCAGGGAAATACAGAGCCCAAGTTCTGTATCCTAAATGGTTTTCGGTCATGGAGAAAGTACTTTCTCCCTAACGCTACTGTTTATAGCCATGGGAGCGGGCTCTGAGGTAATTTCGACTTTTCTTCCTGCTAGATTAAAGAAAGGGCTTAATCTTTTTTTTTTCTTTCCCGTTCCTCTCTAAGAAGGTTCTGTTGTCCTTTCCTCAAAGAGAGCACGTATCTGAAAACAGCTCTGGTGCAGTTCTGCTGGAAGAAGCAAGAAGCTATTAGCGGAGGCACTTGAGGCCGCTGTGCAAGTCCATTACCCCAGAAATAGATTAAAGTAAGTTTGCAGATCCGTGCTGGCCCAGCGTTCTCTCTCTTACCTGAAAGAATGTGGCTCTGTTAGTAGGAGACAGATGTTCTTATCTCATCCGCCTGACAAACTAAAGTGAAATAAATAAAGACAAATAAAAAGGCCGCCTTCTGGGAATTTGCCTTGTTTCTTTCATTCTGAGTCACATAGTTTGGATGGGTTCTGGGTTTTCTTTCCTCCCTCTGGCCTTCCACCCACTTCCCACCACTTCTGATGGCACTGCCTAGGACCGTGGCTCAACACAGCTGCTTGAGTTTATTTCCAGCACCTCATCCTGGGTGACCTGGGAGACAGGCTGCATAAAACCAGGTGCTCACCTCACAGTTTCCCTGTAGGCCCAGAGCTTGGGCAGGGCCAGCTAAGCACCAGGGGAATCTGTTTGTCTGATTTCTCCAGGCCTCTTCTCTTTTCCTTCCACAGGAAACTACTAGGAGTTCCAAAGAACAAAAGACGAAGTTCAGTGGTGCCACAGCTAATGTTTAAAGAGGGGGCTCGGGCCAGGCAGTGGTGGCACAGGCCTTTAATCTCAGCACTCGGAGGCAGAGGCAGGCGGATCTCTGTGAGTTCAAGGCCAGCCTGGTCTACAAGAGCTAGTTCCAGGACAGGCTCATGATGTAGATGTGATGTAGATGTCTGTCTATCTGTTATTTTCTTTGGTTAATAAAGAGACTGCCTTGGCCCTTTGAAAGGACAGAAAATTAGGTAGGCAGAGTAAACAGAACAGAATGCTGGGAAGAGGGCAATGGGGCAGACGCCATGGAGCCAGCCACCAGGTCAGACATGCTGAATCTTTCCCGGTAAGCCACCACCTCGTGGTGCTACACAGATTATTAGAAATGGGTTAATCAAGATGTGAGAGTTAGCCATTAACTAACTCTCTAGAGATAATGGGCCAAGCAGTGTTTAAATGAATACAATTTTTGTGTTGTTATTTCCAGGGCTAAGCTAGCTGTGCGGGAGCCGGGCAGGATGAAAAGCAGGCCTGCCCACTACAGGCTCAAAAACTACAGAGTAAACCCTGACTCAAAAAACAAACAAAAAAGAGAGTGGTGGGGGCTTGGGAGGGTTAAACACAGTTCTTCAAAATTCATTTGCTTAGTAATTACTTTAATTATTTGTGCCCATGTTTGTGTGTGTGTGTGTGTGTGTGTGTGTGTGTGTGTGTGTGTGTGTGTGTTTGATGGGGGAGTCATGTGTGGAGGTAAACAAACAGTTTTATGGAGTAGGTTGTCTCTCTCCACCCTTAAGTGGGTTCCAGGGACAGGGGAGTCCCAATAACCTTTACCCACTGAGCCAAGTCTGGCTCAGGAGTCCATTTCAAAGAGTAGTGTCAGATTTCTTCCATCTAATGCATGAATCAAGATTAGAAGGTGTATTTGTCAAGTCTAATAAGAAGATCCCAGCAGCACCGTCCCTTCCAGACTCCATTATGCCTTACGAAATACCTCAGGCATCAGATGTGAGAGGGACACCTGTCACAGCAATGGACGTTAAGATTTGAGATCACAGGAAAGGTAATAGCTCCTTCGCATTAAATTGGTGGCTCTCAAACTTGGCAGCCCGGGCATTTCCTGTGCTTGAAATTTCATCTAGCACTTAGTGGGTGGCTTGGGGCGGAGTTCACGCATGCGCATCACTAAGGTATCCTGCGATGTGTCTGAACTCAACACTGCATACTGCAGCTTCCAATCAGGCTGTTGAGACTAGCTCAGGACCACTTCCCTCACTGGAAGGACCGTACAGACGGGCCTGGATAATTCCTCATTCTCTCCAGTGACTACACTGTGTATCACTTTTACAGAGTACAAGGCGGGCTGGGCGGTGGTGGCGCATGCCTTTAATCCCAGCATTTGGGAGGCAGAGGCAGGTGAATCTCTGTGAGCTGGAAGCCAGCCTGGTTCATAAGACCTAGTTTTAGGACAGGCTCCAAAGCTACAGAGAAACCCTGTCTCGAAAGACAAAAACAAACAAACAAACAAAAACAGAGTACAAGGCGCCCTCTCACCGCACCCCTACGCTGCGAGATTTTCATCTCCATTTTACAGATGAGAGAAACTGAAGAGCCAAGAGATTTGCTGAAGGTCAGTGGCCCAATGGGTCAGAGGCAGATCTGGAACTTCAGAGAAACACTTGAGGCCATTGCAGTTTTTACACTAGAACATCTGCTTCCTCCAGGCTTGATGTCCGAGATGATCAGCCAGTGGTACTGGAAACCATTTTACTTCCTAGAGGCAGGGAAAGCATGGAGCTCAGATGCTGTGTGATAGATTTTTACTGGGGCAATGCAACACACACGTGGCTATTCAGCCTGGAAAGGGAACCCAGGACAGGCCAAGGTAAGGACTGCACCAAGGTCCAATCCATTGAACCAGAGTGTTTGTTGTTTTGATTTTTAATTTTTATTTGAGAGAGAGAGACGCTTGAAGCTCTATCATTTGAATTACCTGTACTTCGTCATCCTTGCCCATCCAAATTCCAAATAAACAAAAATTTACTTTTCATTTCATAGAAGACACTCACTGAATATAAACATGACAAGCCTTCTTATTTTTAGTGTTCCAATAATGTTGAATAAATTATTTAATAACTGCATTTCATTAAATTACTGTTTGCTCTTACCCAAGTAACAGGCTAGCTTGTGTGTGTCATAAATGAGGGACATAATGAAAATTTATTAAAACCTTTATAATATTTTATATATTTTCAGGAGATATAATCCTAATGAGGGTTTTTCACTGTTAGTCACAGAAGCATGGGTGAGGGGTTGCTTACAAGGAGCAGGGAAGACTCAAAACCAGTTGCATCACCAAAAACAAACCCACCCTAACATGGAAGATTCGTGGAAACTGAGGCGCTGGACCTCTGTGTACAACTCACAGGCAGACATCAGTTCTCTTGCTGATTCTTACATGGTCAGAGCATCACTGCCCTCTACAGTCGGGTTGGTCAGAGTCTCCTTCCCCAGCCAACTGGTTGGGAGGGGAGCTCAAGGATCTTTCAAGTTTCTATTCTTTAGACTTGCAACCAATTGTATTACATCCTGATGCCCTTAAGCCTCTTCTTCCCTCCTGGAGAAGATATTTCAACTTAGAGGAAAGTACCCTACAACACCAGACTGCAGCTATGCAGTTAACGGGTACTACTCCTGATACAAAGTGACTAGTATGTTGTGCATCTCTGTGTGTGAGAGAGACAAAGTTCGTGGAAGAGAAGCAAAACAAGCAATAGTGGGGGTATTGTCACCATCGAGGAAACGGGCAAGATGTACAGGGAAATGTGTCTCTCTGTTTGGGGCTTCAAATAAAGGCAATGTGGTTATTACAAGTAAGCTGCTATGTGTTTGGAAGCCTGCCCACTGCACTGGGAAACCAACCATGGCAAGGGGCAGCCACATGAATCAATGAGGTCACCTTGGATGGTCTTTATGAGTGTGACAGCCAGCCTGTGCCTATTTTTATGAGTGTGTTTGTGTGTATGTGCTAGTTGGCTGCTAACAGGATGTTCAAGCAAGCCAGAGCCTGTGTGCATGTGATATAAATGGAGGGAAAAAAACAAACACCCTGGGAAGCATTAGCATAATTATATAGCCAGCCTGTTTCTTACGTGGGAGTAAAAGTAGGCTTCACAATCCCTGTCTGTTGTGACAAGCACTCAGATATACGCTTGGAATGCAATACGCAGGGGAAAGCTTCTCCCTCACTCCTATTAACATCTTTAACCCTCTAGCATAGCTAAAGTTTTGCCCAACACCTATAGACTAGACTCAAACTTCAAATCACCACAGAGACTGCTGGAGAGAATGACTTATAAACTGTGAGCAGAACAGAGGCGTAAACAAGACACTGCGCGTTAATGCAGTTAATGGTTTGATCGGCAATTCAGTTATTCTGAACCAGCTGTGACCTTGATGCTTAAGGAGCTGAATGGAATCAAACCTGTAGCTTACAGGAGAATGCTATCTCCTCTACTCAAAATGGCTGTTCTTGGGGTTCAAAGGCTCATGGAGCACCCTTCCTTATAGAGACTCACATGACAAAAACTATCTCAGTGCAACTTTCCTTCCAGTGGGACTCAAGTTTCCTTGCCTTTGCGCCAAAGACACTTTGAAGAACATCACCTTTGATCTATATTTTGATCTATATTTCTAAGGAATCTAAGTGTTACGCCACCTTCCAGAGGCATCTTTAACTTCAAGATTTCTGACTGCTTAAAGATCTTAAAATGAAGAGTCGCACACATTCCTTTGAATCTCCCTCCAATCGCCGATTCAGACAAGAGAATTTATCTGTGATTACCATACTCATTAGTACCATATCTGCCTTCCCCTTCTCTTTGTATAAGAAAATGTTCAACACATTCTCCTAAAACCATTTCACCACTCCAGAATGGCAGGATCATTACTCTGAAGCCTGTGGCCCATTAAAGCCCATTGAAGTCAAGCTTCTCACACATACCAAGGAAATGAACCCTTTGCAAAGGGCACTGTTCATTCAGAGGGGTTTGAATGGAGCCTGAGATTCTTTATCTCTTACAAGTCCTGATGATACTGATTCTGCAGATCTGGAAATAACACTGCTGAGTACTACAATGGACAACCTGTTCATAAACAATCGGTTCTTGCAAAAGGAGTTCCTCAACCTCCTCCAACCTCATCCTTTGAATGCCTAGCATCTCCCATTTTGAGTCAAGTGTTTGGGGGATTTGTTTGCTGTTTGCTATTTGTTTTCAAGGTTCATAGTTGTTCATACTAGGATAATTTAATAGAAACAATCCAGATTCATGTGGAACTAGCACTCTCTGCTTTTATTGAAGTATCAACTGGTAAAGAAAAATGCTACGGCACATACACTACTACTTCATTTTGTAGATGTCCCAGCACCAATGGGCTAGTCCCCTGGGTGCAGGCTACAGTAGATTCTATGCTATGTGAAGTCTGGAAGGTTATCTTATAGAAAGAAATTTGAGTATTAAAGTTACAAAATAAAAGTCTTCCATAAGGGTCTTCTTTCACATGCATTATTTGTGTCACATTGCCTTGTTTCCATCCTTCCCCAACATGCACACAGGCAC